TTTTCCGTTTCCTCTTAAATGCTTTTCCTTTAGTTAGCACGCACAAGTCAACTTCTCTTTCAATATCTTTCTCTTCGGTCTGTGCTTAATTTCCAATTTCTAGCTGCATTCTAATTTGTACAAAATGTCTTTTTTTTTCCTTTTTCTCATCATTTTTTAAAAATTTTTAGAACTCACTCCTTGGTGGTCTATAGCTTCAGACGTCAAATATTCTGAAGCTCAGTTAATAAACATTTTCTTTCAATTCATATATAAGCCTCTTCATTTCTTTCTCTTTCTCTCTCTCTCTCTCTCTCCCTCCATCACTCCCTCCTTATGCAGTCTGTTTTTTTGAATTCTAAATCTTCTCTTTCATAGTCTTTAAGATGTTTATGAATAAAAATTATAATTTAATTTCACGAACCATCTCAATTGTAATATTTTCAATCCAAGAGAGAGAGAGAGAGAGAGAGAGAGAGAGAGAATATAAGAAACAATACTCCTTTGAGACAATCTCATGCACAACCGCTCTACTCATCTGTTAACATGCAAAATAGAACTTGCACGTGCGCATGGCGATTTGACTTACAAGTTGACGTGTCAATCACGTACGGCGCACAGAATTGCAAGGAAAAATTAGAATTTTTAATTAATTTTAAGGAAAAAAAAGAAGGATATTATTTCATGGAGGCATATTGTGGTCGTTTGAAGTATAGAGGGAGATAGAGAGAGAGAGAGATAGAGAGAGAGAGAGAGGTATACAGAGAGAGAGAGAAATTGTTATATCAGAAAAGGCGAAAAAACAGGAAGAAATAACAAATTTTATTTCTAAACATATACCTTTTGCATGTGTTTTGGTCAGACCGGCAAGTCATAAAACTTAATATTCCTTTATGCCTTTTATGAGAAGCTTGTTGATTCACGCTATGGCGGGATTTAAGCTTTTCCCTTTTCCTCCTTCCAACAAACTTTTCTTGGAGAACTTTGATAGTCATGGAATGAATGAACAATTCATTTGAATCTAATCTGGCCCACATGTTCTTCTTCCATAAAATTGTTTTACGTTTATTGCAAAACCTCGGAAAAGCTTTCTTCATCCAAATCCTCATATTCACCCCGTCTCTCTCTCTCTATGTGTCCATCTCTCTCTCTCTCTCTCTTTGCTTTAAGCATCTCCCTCTTTCAATTTTATTCTCTTTCAATTTCAATTTTTTGTTTCAAACATTCGCAAGTTGAATGAGGAAAGCATAAGCATTCAAACGTTTCTTTCTCTTCCTATATCACCTGAGTAGTATATCGTGTTGTCGTCTTTGATAGTTTGTTGAACTTTGCGTACTTTCAACTCTCTCTCTACCTCTCAAAATGCTATCTTCCGGGGTAAATTTTGAGAAAATCCCTCGTTTAAGAAGGCATAAGAGGAAGTTGTCATAGTAATTTCACAATTCCACCATTCCGTTATCTTCTGTTTGTTTCACTTGTTATAAGAAAGAATGAAAAAAAAAGATTTGTATTCAGATGTCTTTCCTGGAAGTCCCACCAGATTATGGAGAAAGTAAGTTGTAAACGATGTCAACGTTTATCAAAGATATTGGGGAGTGTCTTCACATACACACACATACACACACACACACACACACACAATCCCACACCACAAACATCTTGTTCTTCTTTCTCTTTTACAATTTGTCTGATTTATGTTCTGAGATAGATATTTGAAGATGAATTCATGCATCATCGCCTCAGGCTATCGACCTTTTGCTACTTTCATCGCCCCGTAAGAAACAATCAAAACCTCCTTCCTTTTTCAATTTTACTCTCTTTTTCTTATTTATTTTTTTTATAACAACATACATTTGAATATAAAAAGGATTCGTACGACGAGAGTAACATCACATCTCAGCTCTCGTCTAGTCAGCTAACTAGCCATTCTTGGCTCTTTCATCCTTCTTCACACGTCAACCGTTTTGAACACTTTCAACAACCAAAAATGGCAATAACCTTTGTCTTTGAAGATGAAAAAAAGAAAATTAGTTCAAGTTAGCTCGTCTTTAATAAGATTAAAGCAGAAGCTTTGCATTTCATATTTAATTTAAAAGAACATTCTTAAGCTTTACCCTTCCTCCATCTCTATGATCTTTCCCCGTCTGTCATGCTGTCTCAACCCTCTTCTCGTTTCATTGGCCATCGCTTTCCGCCAATCATCTTCCTCAGATCATTTCGTCGTTTTAAACAAAAAAAAGGTTTTCATTTTAAAAATTAATTTATATTAATAGACTAATCTCCCTTGCCTCCTTAACTGATGTTGCGAAAGTTATTTGAATCTGCTATTTGATTGAATTACTTGTTCATTTGACATGGATCTCTCACTATCCTCCTCTTTCCAATGTCTCTTCTCACATATCTCAATGAGAGCAATAGAGAGATGGATAGAGAGAGAGAGGGAGAGCACAAGTGTGAGGGAAAGACAATGAAGAGAACGAACTTAAATATTCAAATATCAAAATGCTTTTTACAACACAGACGCACAAAAAAGGAAGACTACGTGGAAAAACGAATAAATAGCAAATAAGGGATGACAAGAGATAATCTAGAATGAAGCAAAGTATCATTCAAACTTCTCTTCCAATCCTCAATGTGTGTTTCTCCTTCATTCTCTCTCTCTATCTCTCTCTCTCTATGTGTATATGTGTGTGTGTGTGCAAAGAAACGTTTTTATTCAAATTTTTAATTTCCTTTTGAACTGAGTGGAGAGAAGAAAGTAGAAATTAACTCATCTCCAGCTTCATCGAAAAGCTTTTTTCTTGCTTAAACCTCAAAATACTTTTCATTAATGTCGAAAGAGACTCCGTGCATGTGTAGCATTTGATCTGAAAGATGTCTCGATGCTTTTCTCTCTCTCTCTCTCTCTCTTCAACCCTTTTATCCTTCATTCGCCCATTCTGTTCTTTAGAAGGGGGCTTGTAAGGAGATAGAGAGAGAAAGAGCGAGCAATCACATATTGCCATATACATACGTGCATATCATATACTAACTATAATACTCTTTATAACCACCCAATTTATAAATTTTTATTTACAAATTCATTTTTTTACTGCTTTGACCATAAACAACTGATTTTGACAGTTCATAACGTATATATAACTTCACATAAATTTATATTTTTCATCACTCTCCCTCTCACTCTCTCTCTCTGTACCTCCATCATTCCCTCTATACTCTCTTACTCTCTCAAATGTTTGTTTTGTTTTCATTCATTCAAAACATCATTAATTTGCATATTCGGGTTGACCACGCAGACGACACGCAGCCAATCTTCACGTGTGACGTGGAGAGTGGTGTCAAATAGCCATCTCATTCGAAGCAGATGAGACGAACAGTGCGGTTGCATCAGAAGCGGCGACATAAATCTTTCCTTCTTGCCAATTCTCATAATTTATTTGAATTTTACGATTATGTTTTGTAGTCAACAGCTTATTTGACAGAGTTAATCTTAAGTCAGCTTTTCCTGAAGTGTTTAAGAGATTGCCTGAGGCATCCTCCTCTCACCTCTACCATGAGGGTTTTGTGAAAGTTTTCTAAACAACCTTGTCACAAAAATCCCTTTTTTGTTGTTTTGTCAAGTAAAGCCGGAACGTCAATTCATCCAACTTATTCATTTCATTTTGAATTAAGCACAGCTTTAACTGTGGTCAATGGAAGTGGTAGGGTAGGAAAAGCTTCACGAGAATTACACAAGCTTAGTACTATCAAGAGCTTCATAACTTCTCCGTTGCGCGTTGTCATTTTTTGAAACAAAAATTCATTTTAAATGTTTCTTCGTCTTATCCCTTTCAGTTTTGGCTTTTCCTCTCTCTCTTCCTCCCCAACCATTGACTCCGCCTACTTTCTAAATGCAGTCATATTGGGAAGTTTATCTTATTCTTGATCATTCACTCGAAACTTCTACTTTTCCTTTTTTTCTTTTTTCTTTTTTAAAACAAAATTTGCTTTTCGATTATCTTTTCTCTCACTTTTTTAGTGTTGGTGAATTGAGTGAAAGATCTAAAATGAAAATCAACAAACATCTCTGAAGATAGCAGAACATGTTGTGAATTTTTGACCTTTTAGCTTCAAGATGTTGAAGCTTCAGTCATTATCGAGTGAACTCTCTAACTCTATTTCCTTAAACTCGAGAAGCGAGACTCCATTCACAGAGAATCTTCGTCTTTCAGCCTCTCATTCTCCACTTGAACTTCATGTTCTATAACCTCTCTCTCTATTAAATAGTCCCTCCTTATTATTTTCCCTCCAAGCTGTAAATCTCTCTCTCTCTCTCTCTATCTCTCTCTCTCTCTCTTCTATCAATATTTTCTTTTTTTGCTTTTTCCAAAAGTTTCCAGTCAAATGTATAGAGTCGTTTATAATGAGTTGTTGAAGAAAAAACATCACTGTTTGTCACCATTAGTTAAATCGCCTCCGGCTATTTCCTTCTCTGAGAGACATACCAAAATAGCTGCAAACCGTAAGAGCTTAAAGACGGAAAAGAGTGTCGGAAGTCAGACGTTGTCTCAGAAACTTTTTTCCATTCGTTGATTACATCTTGACGAATAACCTCGGATGTTTTGATGGTTTTTCGACTGCTAAACGCTTTTGTTTCAACTTATTTCGTTGCCTTCCTACCCTCATATCTCCTTCTCTTGTTTACAAAGTAGATTATGAGAGCAATCGGTGAGCAGGTTCAAAACAAATTATGGAAGGTTGGAGAAGAGAATGATACTTGCTTGTGTGTACGAGAGCCCCCAATATGGGAATGGTTTATTAAAGTTAAAATAAAGATAATTCTTTAAATGGTGTTGCCATGCCAGATGGCCAGATGGTCAATCCAGCTCCAATCCATTCTGTAATTCAATTGAGCTTTGATTCAAAATTCAAATTTTTTGTTTCAAAACTGAAAAGAAATGGAACGAGTCTCCTTCAAATCCTTTTTTGAACCTTCATCTCTCTCTTCTCTCAATAATGCTCATAACGCGAATTGATTTCAGAATCTGGTGCTTCAGCAGAAACAACTTCAAACGAAAGTGAACGTCTAATGGAGAGTGATGATGAAGGAGGAAATATTCAGATTGATGTTCCACCCAGAGCTCGGATGGGAAGAAGGTAACCATTTGCATTGTTTCTTTATTCAACCATATTGTGTAATTGCTTTGAACGATTGAAGTCCTTGAAGTTGAAACGGAACTAGCCATTTACCGCAAAATTGCGAGAGAAAGCCTCCATCTCCTCCATTTTTGACTCTTCTTCCAATTAATTAAACACATTCCGTATAGTTTTTTTATAACAAAAATATATTTTGAAGCTCAAAACGAATACAATGATAAGCTTGAATGCTCAATTAGTCTTCGCTTTCTGTGAAATGACCAGATGAGATAGATGTAGCTGACGTGTTGACTTCAGGTTTTCAAAAAGAACTCTCACGCATAAACAAACTCATAAAATATCTTTTGTATTATTACCAAATAAAGTCTTGAATAGTCAAGTAACGGCTCATATCTTAATACTCGGTAGTAGTCGTAGCTGAGTGAGGGGAGCTTGAGGGATGTGAGGATAACAATCGTTATAAGGTCATCGTGTGACAACATAATCCACAACAGATTTCTAGCTTTGAGCAGTTGTTTGACATTTTGTTCGAAGAATTCAAAAAATAATTGAAAACGAGGGACACTCATTCTCTCTCTCTCTCTTCAACCTCATTTCCTCCCATAAATTCTTGAATTTCACCAGAGGAGCCGTAGTTCTCGGTGTGGGCTTGAAGTTGTGTGAAGCAAGGAAGCCAAAGTACTGGAACTTCTTTCAAACTTTTACATTTTTTCTTCGTTTTTCCATCCAAAGTTATTCTTTCACATAGTCAAATGAGTTGTCATGGATGATAGATGACGGATTACATGAAGAGATAAAGCAAAGCATCAAATATGATTTATGTTTTCGCAAATCTTTACCGTTCATGTACTTTACTTCTCACTCTACTATCTGACCTCAAATCAGAGATTGAGATGAATTCTCCTTCTCTCTCTCTCTCTCTCTCACTCCCTCCCTCTCTCTCAAGTTCATTTCTAAGACAAATGGCCGGGGCTTTTTCAACAAGAAACAAAAAAATAATATTTGGAATAGAAAAACAAAGGAAAAGATAGAAAAATGGAGTTTTCAATGTGGAAATATTCAGATTCACTCTAAACCCTTTAATATTTGCCAAAGAGGAACGAGAAGCTCGTCGACAATCATTGGCTCAATTAAAGCTCAGTTATTATCCGAAACATATGAATCGTGAGTTATTATGAAACCAGATGATGAAAATTATTTTATTTTAAGCAGATTCATATGATGCTGGATTGGGCTTCTGTGGTTGGCTGTTCATGTTCATTTCATGGATTCTCGTCTTATTATCCTTTCCTATTTCAATTATGTTCTGTATCAAAGTAAGAGGGAACTAACACATATCTAAGCTTATATAACATACTTGAAGGTAGTTCAAGAGTATGAAAGAGCAGTTATCTTCCGATTGGGAAGATTGATTGGTGGAGGAGCCCGTGGGCCGGGTATCTTCTTCGTCTTACCATGTATAGAATCATATACGAAAGTGGATCTGCGTACCGTCTCCTTCAGTGTTCCACCTCAAGAAGTATTCAACCATGCTCATGACCATGCTGTATATACGATTCTTGTTTAGATTCTGACAAAAGATTCTGTCACGACTTCTGTTGATGCTGTTGTCTACTACAGAGTCAGCAACGCGACTGTGAGTGTCGCCAATGTTGAAAATGCTCACCATTCCACAAGGTTAATCATATTTACATTCAAAATGCTTATATTAACCTTATATGCAGATTGCTAGCTCAAACGACTTTAAGAAACATGCTGGGTACACGAAATCTCGCTGAAATCCTCTCGGATAGAGACGCTTTAGCTATCTCCATGCAGGTAACGAGCTTGCCACTCAGTAAGCCAATTATACGTCACTCTTTCTCAGACACTCCTTGATGACGCAACCGAAAGCTGGGGAATTAAAGTTGAGCGAGTCGAAATGTAAGAATGCTTCCTCATCTAAACATTTACCCTATCCTCTCTCTTCCTTTTTTAGCAAAGATGTTCGTTTGCCCGTTCAACTACAAAGGGCTATGGCAGCAGAAGCAGAAGCAACTCGAGAAGCTCGAGCAAAAGTGCTGAATGAGATTACATAAATAATTCATATTTTTACTTTCTGCAGGTTATCGCTGCTGAAGGAGAACAGAAAGCTTCACGATCTTTACGTGATGCTGCAAATGTTATCGCTTCATCTCCCGCTGCTCTACAGCTTCGTTATCTCCAAACACTTAACAGTGTCGCGTAAGTTATTGCGAATCTATTATATATGAATATAAAAAGCTTACCTTGAATGCAACCGTTCTACTAACGTTAACTCCAATAAATAAAAAGCTTGACGTCATTCAGACGTACGTGAGATCCACGTAAAAGTTTGAATACGTGAAGTACGAGTAAAACGTGGGAATTCGGTTGTTTTCATTGGAAGCTCGATGAATATACTATATGAGTATATATAATTATAATAAATAATATATTTTCAGAGCAGAAAAAAATTCGACGATCATCTTCCCACTACCGATGGAATTGATGAGACACTTCATTGATTCATAGTACCTAATGACTTCTTCAATATCTAACATCTTCTACATCTTCCAATTTCAATTATTCTTTCATCAAAAGAATCGACAAGCACACGGGTTAATTTGAATTCTTTTGAAGCATATTATGTCTTATGAAAACAAAAAAACTATAATAAATGAAAAAGAAGGTTCAATGTTAACGCTGAGAACCAACCAACCAATTGCTTTCCTTATATAGCGCTTTGGTGCCATCGCGCTTTGCACTTTGGCCATTATGAACTGCCAAAATGGATAAATATATCTTTATTTTCTTAACTTCCTCTTCTTTTCTTGAAATATCATATAAATAGCATAAACACATACAAACAAGAGTCAACTAGAGAGAAATGAGAATGGATAAGGATGCTTATTGATTTGACTATATTAGGCTGCTGATTGCAATAAACATTCAGAAGCTTCTGTCGAACAATCTAACGATGGCAATACAAAGTTTTGTTCATGAAATGCAACGCCTGCCAAACTCTGATTCCGTACCAGCGGTTTAGAATTCATCTCTTCATCTGCGGATTTGAATCCATCGTTCGTTGATGAAGCTTGGAATGACACATTACGATGCACCTGAACATGACAATTCTTCATTAGCTATACCAAATTGCAAAAACATCTGATTGTTTTGAATTTATGCATTACCTTGACACTGCTAGCCTCAGGCGAAAGTTTAGTACTAAGTGAAGGACTTGGTTTATGAATGGATCGAAGATCGTTTTCACTTCGATGAGAAGCATAAGCTGTAAGTATATGAAATAAAACTTTTTTTGCAATTGGGATTAATGATTTACAATTGGTTTCTCGTCTTCCGCACAAAGCCTTGGTTACATGTGATCTGTTGAAAAGAATATAAATCCAAGGGTTTACGCACGAATTTAAATTTCCCAAAGTCATTACATAGAGATAGAAGCTGGGTGCTGAAGTAGATGATGTTTAGAAGAGCGTGATATACAAACAACTCACTTAGTAACGATGGCCACAAAGCTAAAACAACATTCACAACACAAAATGGCATCCACAAAAAGAAATTACAGACGATTATGGTCATTGTAAGACGAACTGAATGTTATTCTCATTAGTTTGTCGTGAGCTCAAACATTCACAAAAACCTGTTTGTACCCGTTTTCTATCGAATTCGTAAGTTTGTCGTCGAAACCCATATGATTTTTTGCGTAAATTTTCTATATAATCCTGTGTGATGTCCCTGAAATGAGAAGCAGGTTGAGTAGGTTGCGATTGGAGCGCTTGGCTGTTACCCTTTGACCGGCTCTTTCTGCTCCATCGCTACTTTAGGTGCGCGCGTACCTGACATCCACACAGCTTTACATACACGGTAATAGAAATATCCTGAAATATAAGTGTATTTTTAGTTTTTTTGTATTGAATTACCTGCAAAAATGGATGGCAAGAGCCATGCAATTGTATTGAAAACAATCACGTAAATATTTTTAATTATATTCTTTTCATGCCCATATATAGTTGCACATTCCTCAATTTTGTGTTCATTTCGATGTCGACTTCTTAATTAATTCAAAATGTTCATTAAGCAACAGATTTCTTCTTCTTCAATTACCTTTTCTCCCAAATAATTAATTGGGGGATTGAGCAGATTAATGATAAGACCCATGCTATGGCGGCCAGGTAGTTCGGTCGGCGGTATCGAGATGCACGAAAGTTCGCCAACGGACGACATATGGCCTATAACAAGTATATCTCTGTGTATGTTCATTAAGCTATCAGTCTATGTACCTGATAACGATCAGCACTTATAGCAACCAATAGAAAAGGACTAGCGTAATGAGGTAACATCTGACAATATCTCATAGCTTTACACATCCAATCGGAACCATTGAACTGTGGCCATGTAATCTTGAAAGCAAAAATGTAAAATCAAAAAAAAATAGTTTAATTAGTACCATCGTTAATATTTCCGTTCCTAATGAAAGAAGGGCAAACAGCAGATCAGCTACACATGTATGAATTAGTAAAAGCTTGAAGAAGAAATAATAATTCCCAGATGACTATATAGATGTGACTTACTTGTACCGGAGAGATTCTCCTTCGACTCACATAGTTTCCTCTCAAAATAACAAAAAGTAAAAAGAGATTACCCAATATGGATAATGTCATTACAATAAATTGATGTAAAACGACAAAGAATATATGTGATTGCATGACTGCAAGAGAATGAAGGACTGAAGACAGCACTTCAGCCTAGGTTACGATCTGTAACAAAGTCTAAATAAGAATTATGAATAAAGAAAAACAAGAAAGAGAGAGTAATATATAATATTATATATGATTAGTTGTTAAAAAAACAAAAAAACTCAACTAAAAGTCAAATTGGCCAACAAAAATATTGAAAAATCAGAGGAATGACGGCCAGAGCGGGACGAAGAGGGAAAAATGAAAAAAATCAGCTGATTTTGCTAAGTTTCTTGTGTTTTGATGAGGAATTAGCTTCAATTTTGGCAAAGAAAAGAAAGACTGGACTTCTGCAAAAAAAAATGAAATAAAATCTTTTCTTCTTGTTCGACTTGTGGTTGATGAAGGAGAGAAAGGATGGAATAGTGGAGATTATCAGGAGGAGCTCGGCTAGTCGTAGTGGTAGTGGTGAGTGGTATAAGTGATGAAGAAGAAGAAGAAGAGGAGAATGGAAAACGGTTGTAGAGAGAAAGATTAGACTGAGAACCTCATAATTAAGCTTTTCCATTGAATGAGACATAAGTTTGAACGAGAAATGAACAGGCACACCAAATGCGACGAGATAGAATGGCAGAGGAGGGGTGTGAACACAAGAGTACAAGTTACTGATCCTTGCAAACACAAAAATTACCCTCAACAACTCAACTTTCAGTCTTTCCAACCATGCTGCTTACCAGCTTTAAACAAGAAAATGTTTTAAAAAGAAAGATAAAAGACAGGAGGAGGAAGAGGAAATTAAGTTTTTAATGTTTCTTTTCATGAATATCAAATTCTATAGGTCATAATTCAGCATTTCAATCTATGTGCATCATGCCCTCAGGCAATTGCATTGAGAACGATAGCCGGACAGAGGCATTTTCTCCATTTTTTTATTCAAAAATGAATTAAATGCTGTTGGTTTCTTCTGAATGCTCGAGAATTATTTATGAAAATTATGTGGATAGCAGATGAATTACCCGATGATATGGAAGAGGACATTGGCCATGTCTGGAGGAATGAAGGGTACAGAGAAAGAGAATGAGAGAGAAGCTCACTGTGACCTGGTTATAATGACCTTTAATGCCAGACGATATAAGCTATTACAAGAGAACTCAAAAGAAATTGGTATTCTGACTAGTCGCTCCCTCATCCACCCCCATCCTCTTGTTTTCTTTCTCTCTCTCTCCCTCTCTCTCTCTCCCTCCCTCTCTCTCAATACGTTGTCCTGAGCTTAGAAAGTCTCGTACGCTGCCATTTTGCTCTTCTCAATCACTAATTTCCCAAGTTCATCGTCCGTCAATGCAACAAATAATTTTTTTTTAAAACATAACGAAAGCCGAAGAAGCGAAAAACCGAAAACAAACACAGAAAGGAGGAACGTTAGTCCCCTGAAAGCCAGACAAGTTTACTTTCAACAAAAAAAGGAAAGAACGAGCTAAGTAGAAGAAAAAAACATAATAAGGCTGTACGATAAGATCAAAGGCTGCTCTTTTTTATATTTTAGAAGATTAAAAATGCCTTAGGCTCTCTCAACTCAGATCGTGGCAATCTTTGACCAAGGCAGTCTGAGTATCTCAGAGTTATTAAGGTAATGTTTTGATATAAACAAGTCAAGTGATGAGTAAAAAAGGAATTATTCAACTCTTTTTGCATATTTGACTGAATTCACAGAATCTCAAATAGCAAATGAAGTTCCTATTCATTTGTGGAAGAATCTCAAGAAGATGATCGCAATGATTTCCGTTAGAGCGTACAATGAAAAAACGGAGGCAAAGCTCACAATCTCTCAATATTTGAGGTCGTGGCCATGAATATTCTCAATAAGCCACAACTTTTTGTGCTCAAAATAGATCCAAATGAAGATTTTCCAATAAAAAATGGGCAAAGAGACTCGCTGGATTCGCCCCTGGATTCAAATGGTATCGTCTTGTTCGAAATAAAAAATGAAGAAGATGATAAACAAATTATCTCATATGCGAAACGGTTTCAACGAAAACAATGCTTTGAGGCTGAAAACGAAGATTCGCTTCATACGAATATAGCTAACAGAATCTTTTCAGAAGTTTCTCGGGAGAGAGAGAGAGAGAGAGAGAGATGGAGAATGAGAACAAAAGTTTTGATAAGATAACAGAAAAAAAAAGAAGAAGCAGGAAGAGCTCGAAAGTCATAAACAAATTTCTTTCCTGACGAGAACAGAACCTCACCCTCCCTCTCTTTATTTTCAGAATCAAGGAGAGAATGTATAGTGTTGGAAGAGAGAGAGAGAGAGAGTAAAAGTTGTTTGAAACATGGCATGCTTCGAGCTCTGTTCCATGAGGTTGAAACGAGAATTTGGAGAAGTCGTCCCGTTGTAAGCAGAGCTAATTTTTCAGAAAACTTTATTTCAAAAAAACAAAAAAGCCAAGAGGAGAATTAGAGTGACAATTCTTTTTTATTTTGTTTTTCCATAAAAGAGTTCTACCTTTACCAATGAAAAATTCACATGAAAATGAAATTTTACACGAATAAATTTCTTTTTTTGACCTTTATGACACCTTGAGGGGGAAGAGCTTCTCCAAAATTGGCAATTTCAATTAATTTGAGTGGGAAAGAGGATGTTTCTCTACTATCCAAGAGTAAACTCCTAATTATCAAGTTTAAAACACAAAAAATGGCCAAAAATTATAATAAATTCAGGAAAATACGTCAGCTCACCGAAACAACAAGGGAAAGTTCATTGGTGGTCAGGGGAAGTCAAAAAAGAAAATTCGCAGATGAAAGGTGTCAAAATAGAAGGGAAAACTCAATTTTTTGATGGAGAGAAATTGTATTTTAAGCATAAAATATATCTTTTCAAAAGTTTTTTGTATTTGCGGTTCCTCCGAACGAAAATGAGGGACTGAAGGTGGTTGAGAGAGAGGAAGGGAGAGAGAGAGAAGGAAAGAGAGAAAAACAGAAGAACATGAAGGAATATCCCCCGTATAAGCCAATTGGTATCACTTTTTGATTTGGGAATATTCATTCATCCTATGTACTTTGCCATGAGTAATAGCTTCAATAAGAATAGGATGGATTACAAATGAAAGAAACAATTGAACTTCGTCTGCCATCAGTCATTGCCTCGTCGACTGAGAGCTTCACGAACGTCTTTGGAAGCTCATTTTTTGTGTTAACGACACAACATCGTTCCGAACCATTACGTCATACTCATCTCTAAGAACTTTATTAATTTTTTTGTTCACTCTCTTCATCCATTCCTCACTCCCTATATGGAACAAAAAAAATGTATGAATGGGTGGTGGTGGTGGTGGTGTTGGTAGTAGTATAGGCGCAAGAAGGAAGCAAAAGAAAGACTATATATTAGATTATTTTATTTTTCTAAATAATAAACTGTTACACGATGTGTCAAGGACTAATTATCTTTTTTTTGAAACTAATCCCGAACGGAAGGCAATGAGAGACATAAAGGGAAGCAAAGAGGAAAAGGCAGCAAACGACATTATCATGCTTACTTTCGTTCAAAAACCACTCGAATGTGTTTTTCTGTATTTTGTTATAAATAGAATAAATAAAATGAAAATAAGTCATTACAAGCCAACCGCTCCCGTACGCCTGATTTTTGTGAAAATGAAAATGTAAACAGCTGACTAAATGATTTACGTGAGTAACGTGGACGATGACACGTGGATATGCAAATGAGCTTTCAAAATTCAAAAATTGAAGAGAGGGTGAAGAAAAAAAAAAGAGAGAGAAAGAAGTGAAAATCTTAAACAAACACACGAGTTTCTGATATTTGAGAATGAAGGAAGCCGGAGGCAGTTTGAACATGGAAACTATTTGGATAATTTGCCATATATTGCTATAAAACGTCTTTTAAGAAAATTCGAATTTGAAATATAATTAAAAAAGTTCATGATCACTAGGCATGATGAGGACGTTGATGATGATGATGATGATGATGATGATGATGATGATGAGGACGATGGGGAGGTCAATTTCATTTCCGTTTCTCGTTTTGAATGAAAATGAATCAAAATAGAAAAATGAAGTAAGTAAGGAAGATACTTTTCGAAATCTAGATATGGAAGTTCAAGCAATGCGGAACTGATATCTGTGGATGTGGATTGGAGCAAGCACATGAGCTCATCGTGTTTCCAGCCATACACATGCACATACATATACATACAATGTCCGAAGCTTCATGATGAGATGTGATTAAAAGAAAATACTTGAATGATAAAAAAGGTCTCGCCAAAACAACTTCGATCTCTGAGCTTATTTGATCGAAGATTCAGCAACAAAAAAGTTTTTCTGTCTCTCAAAAAAATGGGTTTGCTCTTCAAGAACGTTATTGATAAAGAATGAAATAATAAATGCAAATGAAGAGCTTTCACCTGCTGAAGAGAACGTGTTTTGAGAAAGAGCAGATGAAATACTCTGTGATACGTCCAACAGATGTTTAAATGCTTTCAGAATGGCAATGAGACGCAAAAGGAAAAGCTCAATGTAAGATATAATATTGTAACACAATAATTCTTTTTTTTCTTCATAATATCATGATGATGATGTGACGGAATGCAAAATTAAATAGTTCGGAGAAAAGGAAGACAGAGAATTCGTTCAAATGACGAGAATGACGAGGATGATGATGACTTCTGATGCTCTACGCAATTTGACTTGAAAAAAACTGGAGGAAACGAAAAAATGCGGGCGTAGTAGAGACAAATGAAGACTACAAGACAGAAGATGAACAACGAAAAATGAAGTTGGATTAATACTTTGTTCTTGAAAAGCCTCTCGAAGGATAGAAATTTGGTTGGCCGAGTGATATGTCGCTTTTGGAAATGAGAAGTTGCTTGCTTCTCACCCTCTACTCCCCCCCCCCCCCCCCCCCCCACAAAAAACACAAAAAAAACAAAAAAAATTACCTTTTTAATAAAAATAAAACAAAACATTATTAATTACCTTATTAGCATAAAATAATCTAAGCTGATTTGAATTCAAAACTTGACCTTTTGTTGAAGGTTTTACAAGATATTTGATGATCTTTAGTTTCTTAACAACTTTTGTTTATATTATGATCGTCACTTTCACTCTCTCTCTCTCTCTTACAGTTGGTCAAACAAAAATGAAAATTTGGAGAAAAATGAAAAAGATAATTACAGTCGTATTTCAATAGATTTACAAGAGAAACGAATATTCAGAAATAAACAAATTGCGTGGTCATCAAACATCACCGAAAGAGGAGAAAACTTATCACCTGCAAAGGAATCGACTAACCAGCCTACACACACACACACACACACACACACACGTACGTCGGCAGACAACGGCACGTTTAACAAATATTTTCAGCTATTCTTCATAGTACGAAATCAATGGTTAAGATAAGATGATAGATGAGATAAAAGCCTTAGATGGCCAAGTACATCCCCAGCCCTCCCTGATGATCGGCACCAACCTCAAAACTTTTGTTTTAAACTTGGAATAAACTTGGCAGTGGGCGTTTTAAACCTGATGAAAATTCATCAAAGCTCTCTTAATTCGAAAAAAACAAGAAAAAAAGATTTGTTAAGCTTTTGCTTGTGCTGTCGTTGAGTAATGAGAAGCAATCAAAGGTCTTCGTGCTTTGAGCTTTTCCATCGCATTCTGCGTGTTCGGTGAAATAGGAAAAGAAAGGATGTTTGATGAAAAAGTTGATTACCAAAATAAAATATGTCATGCATGATGGATTTAAAAAACAATTCGCTCATCCACATGTTAGGCTATGAGCAGCTCTTCATCGGCAATATCTTCGCACATAACTTATAGATAGAAACGGAAGATCGATGTTTGTAACTGTGATTGAAGTTTGTAGCTTCGAAACAGAAGCTGAAAACTGCGAATTAATTCCTTACCAAACCATTTGAAATTGAATATTTTGAAAAAAAGCTTTTGGTTGAAGTGACTTCTCCTGCTCTAACGTTCGCCTCATCTCGCCCCCCCCCCCCCTTTCTCCTCCCTCACAGAAAACAAACTTAGATTCGCTTAGAAAAAAAGTTGTGAATAATTGCAAATATTTCGGGATATTCATAAAGTTGGGAATATTCAGCCTTTCTCAAAGTAGTTGAGATGGTTACTGAGGAATGGCTTCGCCAGCTCCATCTCCTACTCTTTCCCTATCTCTACTTCTTCTTCTTCTTCTGGAAATAAATGAAACAAGAAAATAAAATTCTACAGAGGACGTTTGAAGGATAATTCTACTTACTCCATGATGGCAAATCCAAACAACAGCTTTTTTCAAATATGCCCTTAGCTTTTAACAACAAATTCCAGGTGATTTAAAGAGGCTTTGATTTCTCTTCCCATCTTATATGAAATCAAAAACATCGAGATGTAGAAGGAAATCCAAAGTACGTTAACATTGAATATGCAATTTACATATTCAATGCACGTCTCCAATGACCGATACTCACAGCCCAGGGCTAGTTAGGTATAAGCTAACCATGATGCCCTGATCAGTCTTTGAAGAATGGCAAAAAATAAATCGAATCTCTTTGTTTTGTCTCTGTTTAACTAGCTTTCTCCACTCAGTCCCTCTCCTTATCTCCTCATGCTCTGTTTAACAGAATATTTTTTTGCGCCTCAATTTGCATATTCGATGTACGTGGAAAACGAGGAAGAGTCACTGCTCCTCATTTTCTAAAATTAAAATTTCCGGAACGGTCGGTCGGTTGTATTCGCTGTGCGCTAATTAATGAGGAAGCGGAATGAGGAAAATATGAAATTGTGTTAGAAAATATTCTCTAATTCCGTAGAAGGAAGGTCAAAGTGATAAATCAAAAAGAAAAATAAAAAAACAGCAGCTTAATCTGAAGAAAACATTTGTTTCTGCAATTCCATTTATCATTTATCTTCTATTGGAAAGCAAAAATAAATATTCTAGGAAGATGGAAGTTATCACGAAGAATAGAAGTCTTATTGGAGAGGAATGAAATGTCGCACGGACGTATGTTCCTCATGCACGCGTTTTTCATCAAAGGGACATCTGGTCCAATGTAGCCAGTCTTGCATATCTATAGTTTAATAAGATATTGATCTTTGTAATTAAGTCTTAGTAATGATAGAGCAGAAACGAATGACTTTCTTTCCTGAAGGTAAACGAGGAAGCAGGAAGAACTCTGGCATTCCTTTCATTAGGGGGGGAGGCAACCTTTTGAAACAAAGGAGTCAATAAGCGAACAAAGGAGAGATTCTTGAAAATCGCTACGTCATATTAGTCGCAATAGTCATAGGAAGTCAAGTTCTGGCTTCATCAGAAATTTAAAAAGATATGTTCAAGCGAATCAGGATCACCATATTCGCATCATTGCATTACTTATGACGACTCAATTTACTGAGGTAGAATATTGTGATGGATAGAAACTGCTTGCAGTCGGTCGCTGCTCAATTCCCTCCCCTCCTTTCGTTGATTATGCAGTCACTAGAAGACAAGCTATTAGAAGTCTTTTTATTGGATTTATATACAACTTGAAGTAGTAATAACTTATAATTGTTTGAACAACATAATAGATTAGTCAGTTCGAAAACTGATGAGGTATCTGAGACTACATCATAAACTACGAAACGATCCGTAAGAAACTTGTCTGAGAGAATTGAGAACTAAGTATTTCAAATTGAAAGGTCAGAGAGAGAAAAAATTGGAAATAAGTAACTAGGGAATGAAATGGACCTGTGATTAAACCGTCAGAAACAAGAAAATGATAAAAGTTACACGAAATGGAAAAAAGTTCCTAACAGGGATTTGACTCCGTCATTCAATACACTCATGGAATAAGCTCTACGTCATCCTGACTACCAGTACTGTCTTCAGCAACGATTACATCGTCTTCTTTAGCAGCATCAACAATTTCTTCTGTCTCTCCGTCGCCACTATCGTTCTGAAATAGAATTATTGTTTTCTTTAGCGCTTTTTATCCAGAAGATACCTCATTATCAATAATTTCAGGAGCGCTTTCGCCGTCGGCACTTTCGGGTGCCTCTAATCTAACAGGTGTACCCTCTCCATCATCATCGGAAACCATAATCTCATCCCCACGTCCAGCTAAGGAAAGTTCATGGATTGCTGAGGTTGTGCGATTCAGAAGGACAGACGGCTTATCAAATTCAACCACCTAAAGTCAATTATAAAAAACTGAGTTATGCAAATTGAGTAACTTACTTCTCCGTTCTCCATCATAAGTACACGATCACAGTTGTAAACATTTTCCAGACGATGGGCAATGAGCAACAAGGTGCATTCATTGAATGCTTCTTTTATTACCTGAATATGAACAATTAATTCCATTCCCAATAAACAATTTTTCAAATTACTTTCTGGATGACTTTATCTGTAGCCAAATCCAAACTAGCTGTAGCTTCATCAAGAAGAACGACTCGAGCTTTCGTTAGAATGGCACGAGCCATGCACAACAATTGTCTTTCACCAACAGAGAAGTTTTCTCCTCCAGACTGAACTTCAGCTTCTAATCCCTTCTCCAAACTCTTGATCTATACAAATTAGCTCAATGAACTAGAAAATTTTGAACAACTTTACCGTAGCTTTCATGTAAACCTTTTCCAAGGCTGTCCAGAGTTCAGAATCAGAAAACTGATTATTAGGGTCAAGATTATAACGAATAGTTCCAGCAAATAACATGGGCTCTTGTGGAATGACTGCCATAGCTCTGAATGGAAGGAGTTTTGATGAACATGGACACTCTCTCACCTTCTCAATCGATGAAGACCAAGAGTTACGATATCAACACCATCAATGTAGATAGCTCCACTTGTAAGTGGATACAGTCTGTATATTACATTTCCTAAAGAGGATTTTCCTGATCCAGTTCTTCCAATAATTCCTATTTTCTCCTTGGGCTTGATATCAAAAGATACACAGTTCAAAGCTAATGGGAGTTTTGGACGGTAGCGCAACCTTAACAGTTACATGAGAAACTCTATGCCACCGATAACATACTTCACACTTTCGAAAGTGATCTGTCCAGCCTTAGGCCAATCTTTAGGTATATCGGTACCCTTCTTAGAATCCCAATCACCTTCGGAAGTGATCACATCTGAGTAATGAGCAACTCTTTCAACAGAAGTCATTTTAGCCTCGAGCTCTGTTTGAGTACGAACTGCGAATTGGAAAATTCCACTCATCTGCAGAAAACAGGAAATAAAAGCGAATCACCAGAAGGATAAGACTAACCTGTACAGCAAAAGCGATAGCCATACCAGCTTCAGCTGGTGATACAGTTCCTGTTAGCATAACAATGAGGAAAGCTACCACAGATGTAATGGCGACTACGAACAGATCGAGCCAAACGGCTAACCAACGCATAGCGGATTGGAACATGAAGACTGACCCACTAAAACTTACAGAATTATGAAAGTTTTTTGAACTAGATCAACCTGTTGGCATCCAATCTCTTCTTCAGAGTTTCGAGGAAATGAGATGTCTGTCCATATGAATGAATACAGTGGAGGCCTTCCAGAGATGTTGTGATGTGGTCGAAGAGAGGTGAACGAGAGATATTCTCAGATCGTTTCAAACTACGTATACCAGCACGGAAACAAAGAATGAACATAACAAATATGGCCAACAGCGGAACGCAAGCGATCAGGAAGGATGGGAAAACCCAAGCAATAACCAGAAGGAATCCTATGCAGGTAATCATATTTTGCAGGAAGACTTCAGCTGTGAAAGGAAGTTTCACATCAACTGGAATGAAAAAATAAACAACAGGAAAAAAATACTAACTCACTTTCATCCATATCTTTACTGAATCTATTCAAGATTCTGCCGGTTGGTGTTGAATCAAAGAAGTGAACAGCCCCACGAATAACAGAATTGAACATGTTGCTATGAAGTCTAGAAGCGGCATTGAGAGACACCTGAACACGAGAATCAGTAAAGAAACAACGAATCTTCTCACTTTCACAAAAATGCAAGCTTTGAAAAGACCTGATACGAAAAGAATGACAAGAGATACACCATAGATAGTGGCATAGTAAGAGGTGTCAGGACTTTGGGCCAAGCTTCCAGATGATCGAACAATAGTTCCATTTTCTTGAACCACAACCTAAAGATTGTCAATGATAGTTGTTCACAGCAAAACAGAACAACCTCCTCTCTGTTCTTCAACCAACGTGAAAGCCAGAAAGTTGAGAAAATTGAAGACACTACATTAAGAATGAAAGCCATGATTAATATACACCAAACAACCCATGAACCAGCGGCTTTGATATAGTTTCTAAAACGATGCATGCTCATTGAAACTGTTAAATATCCTCACTTATATATCTTCCATGACATCTCGGCTAATCCAAGATCTTCCTCATCATCTACCAGCTTTCCATTATCTTTTTCTAAAGCGATCAAATCAGAGGTTGAGCCTTGCAGCAATGTGGCATCTTCGGCTAACTGGAATAAAACAGATTTGCTTCAATCTTTCCCCGTTCTGACCTTCTCAAAATCTTCGCTTGCAGAACTGACAACTCTTGGCTCAGTGTTGTTACTTTCCGGTCGATTGGTATTATATTGTTCTTAAAATGAAAAGAGTGAAAGAATGAGTAAACTCTATACAACCTGTTACTTTGGTAGCCATGCAGTAATCATTATATGCTTTGCAAGACTCCAAAAGATCTAAGTGTGGGCCATAAGATACCACTCTGCCATTTTCCATGAAAACAACTTTGCTACAGAGTGCAAGTCTCTGCAAATTCATATATAAGACCGTGAATGGTTGCATTTAACTAACCTGTGGATCAGAGGAAACCAAAACAACAGTCTTACTCACGAGGGCATTCTGCACTGCATCTTCGAAAATTCTATCAGCAACCTATAAATTATGTGTTTAAACTGCTTGTAAGAGATAACGAACGTTCTTGTCCAAGCTAGCCAACACATCATCCAAAAGATAGATATCTTTATGAGCGAAAAGGGCGCGAGCCAATGATATACGAGCCTTCTGACCACCGGAAAGGGTCGCCCCTCTTTCACCGATCTGAAACTGGTTTTAAGAAACAGTGAACAGGACAAATGGTACCTCAGTTTTGTCTTTGGCAGTCATGTCCTCGATATCTTTGTTCAGCTGACATACTGTTATTGCCTGAAACGAAATTCATTTTCAAGGTGTTGAACCAGTTGAGCGGTTGCACTCGATGATTTCATGTTCTTTGATTTGGGTTCGTAAAACTGATCACATTATTCCTCAAAAACGTTTACAGATTATCTTTTTCACATGGCTGTCAACTCAGTTCCTGCTTGTCATCAAGTGTTTCAAAAGCTGTGCCAAGAAACTGGAGAAATACAAAAAAGCTAATAAAAAGAATAACTCGGTCGAAGTGAAAAACGAAAAGCCCGCCGATATTAATTCAAAAGAAGTGGAGAGAGCCAAAGTGGACATTGAAACGGTATGAAACCCTTTTCGTATACTGGAAGACGTTTTCAAGATCCCACAGCCTAATGACAAACGAACGAATGAGATACGGAAATCGTTTGAAGGAAAACATGAAAGCAAGAAGATCGCAGTTACAAAACCTAATGATGTGAGCCTTTAAATCAATCAAATCATTTTCAATTTTCCTACAGGATAAAGCACCTAGCACGTTCAAAGATATAGAAGATGACACGTTGCGAAACCTCCCAAGTTTAGTTTACGACGGGAACGATACTTCGACTTCATAATAAAACTCTCCTCACCTTTTGATATCTTTGACTATTCATTGGAGCTCCGAACAATATATTATCTTGGACAGTAGCATTTTGGATCCACGATGTTTGTGGAACATAAGCTACTGAACCGCTGACCTCAACTTCACCAGATGTTGGGAACATCTGTAAAAATTAATTCAATTTTTGAGGTGCGATTGGAAACTAACATGACCGATAATACTGGTGAGAAGAGCAGTTTTTCCACTACCGACTGCACCACAAACTCCGACTAGCTCTTTCTTCTTGATAATCAAAGATATATCCTCCAAGAAAGCACTGTTTTCGGCTGGGATAGCTTCAGTGGTTTCAGTACTTTCTGCATCAGCTTCCTTCACGGGATTCCAAGAGAATCCTCCATTCTTGAACCTGATAGCGTGGTTAGAATCAGATGGAGTTGGCAGTTGTGAATCCCATTCCTCAAGCTGAAACCAAAAAGAGTAAGAGAATATGCAGATGGACACTCACCAGTAAGAGCTCTTGGATTCTTCGAATTGCAACACTAGCTTCAGCCAAGTACCGACTTCCATAGGGGATCATTCTGATACCGAAAAGCATGACGAAGAAAACTGTGATGGCAGAGAAAGCCTGGATAAACACAAACTTAGAATATGCTTTAAGAAGAAAGCCTTACATCACTAGCCAATAGATCATTTCCAGATAACACAACTCCTAAGAACGTAAGAATAGCGGCCACAACAGGAACAACGGGTCCGCATGCAATAGCTAAGGATTGAGCATATCCAGCAGTTCGGATATCAACCTTCTCTTCATGTCGCATAGCTGGAAGCATGGATATGAGATGAAGAATGGAGGGTTCAGGAGATTACCTCTGATTCTCTTTGAGAAATTCTCCTCCCAACAGTTCATTTTGATAACTCGTATACACTTGATGATTTCACCCATAAGACTCATTCTCTTTTCGGTTTTCGTAATGGCACTAGCACGACAACGAACCATTGTCATACCAAGGAAATACTTAATGTTAAATCATTGATATTCAACCGATGACAAATGCAATTACTTGGATTCCATCGAAAACGAAGAAAACAAAGATGCCAATCAGAGACCAGGGACCAATAACGATGAGAAGATATATAATTCCTCCTATATGAAAGAACACGTGAATGGAATCGAATCTTGAAACTAACCTAATAGAACCAAAGGTCCTACCAACACCAGAGGAGCAAATGTAATCGCATCGAATAGTCTTTGACCATCGTTTGCAAACATGTTCACAATCTAAAAACAACTTTAATGAAACCAAAAAGCTTCAATTTCAAACCTCAGCCGCATTTTTCTTCCCTAAGCTGCGAACGTTGATGAGACGTTGGAACAGAAGTCCTAAGAGAGCTCCACGAACTCTAATACCCGTACGATACGAAATAGCCCAAGTTGCACCATAAGACAAGACACGTGCGATTTCGACCTAAATATTAACGTCAACACAGCCGCTCACATTACGAGACGAAATGGAATAACAAGATCAACCGCATGCAGCTCAAAAATTTTGAAAATGAAAACGAACCAAACAAATAGATATGACCAGGAAGAGTCCCCATTGGAAATCAACGCTTTCTCCATCCTTTGGAGGGTTCTCAGCGAAGGAAACAAGTCCTGAACGTCATTCAGTATGAGCAAAAATGTTTTCAAATACCTCTAATGAAACAAGTAGGTCCAATAAAACCGAAGATAAGGCAAAAGAAGAACACGCAACATGAGGCTAGCAATCTAGTTTTGATAAACCTGAAGACGGCCTGAAAAGGAGGGTTTGAATGATAAGCAGTACATCTGATCACCTTAAAAAGAGAAGGCGATTTGGGGTTAGCCTTGACTTCTTCATCCCATAAAACTTTCATTCGCGCCATATTTATATTACTGGCATCGAAGATACTACAATTCCAGACTTGGTCTTTGTCAAGTTTACCCTTAACAGAAGCTTGATAACATCTGATGTATCAGAAATTTACAAACCCGGAAAGCAGAAAACAGATACTCGAAAACCCAACTATAAGTAACGAAGGATAACAAGCCTGACTCGTCGATTTTAGCTGATCCTTTTAATGTACTGAAAAAGAGCATAAATTACAGCTTTGACACATTATTGTTACCTCTTCCCCGTTCTAATAGGCTGCATATTTTTTAGTGTTGAGGAGTATCTACTGAAATCTTTGTCCGGTAAACCGGAATTGTACCGATCGGCAAGATCGGAGCCCATGCTGGAAAATATAATAAAATGAGGAGATGAACTTAAAAATGCTTCTGTTTCAGACAAAGAGTGCTGGAGTGGAATAGGATAACAAAGACAGTAGCAAGTACATGCGATAGGAAGTGTAAAACTCCATAGTGGAGATAAGATCTTCAGGACACCGTGAATTGATGATTTCTCCAAAAGGTGATAACAAACACATATAATTAGAAGAGCAGCAGAGCAGATTTGAATTATGGATCGGAAGGTACAATTGTTCTGCTATTTCGGGAATTTCGAATGGAAGTGAGAGTAGACCTACGGCGTATGACTAGAACGCATAAAAAGTAAAAATGATAATATGAAGTGTGTGACCTAGCAGCCAAAAAAACATTGAAATATCAAGGACAGTTCATGAAAGCATAATGATCAGCATCGTATTTTGTTCAAAATGACCAAAAAAGGTAATCTGTTATCATGAGGTTCTTATCCGTACAAGTACAAGGTATTTTCTATCAAATATAAGTTTATCGGGAGAACAAACAGCATCAGAGTAGAACATATGATGAAATAATGATAGTGATTATAAGCTGTTCGGAAAAAAAGATGAAAAACAAGAAAAATGTTCTTGAAACATAGATGTCGCACTAACCTTCCTTTCTTGGAATACATAACTCGCGGGTAGACATCTTCGTCCTCTGGCCCTCCAGGATCTAATTGTACCCGAGCTTCGTCCATTTCCTTTTTCGAACCTAAAACAACTAAGTACGAGAAGATTTGGAAACACAACTAACGAAATGGAAAGAAAGTAACAAATGTTTTGAGAAGAGAAAACGGAAAAGAAACGATGGTACCATCAGTCACGATCAGGTTATATCTCTCCACATTGTATGAGAACGTTGGGAGAAAATAGGAAGACTCATATTGAGGAAGCGATGAGTAACAGCGGTTTTCGCTTCAGAATTAAATAAGAGCATTAAGTGTTCTCAGAGAGATGAAGACTCAGAAAAGTCCGGTACGAAAGCCAGTGTGCGAGTTAAAAACAACAGAAGGTCATTATATACACGAAGTGAGACTGATCAGATGCAAAATAAACTATTTCTCAGCATTGAACCCTAGTACAAAACATTGACGATGAGATAAAATCTAGTATTCATCAGAAGGTCAGCTTGAAGAATCGATATGGAAAAAGCTTGCAGCTAGTTCAAAATGTGCTCAACTCCGCGTGAGGTGATAAGGAACTGTTCAGATCGATTTCGACATAATCCGGAATACCGGACGGTGTGCAGGGATTAGGTTCGCCATGATCTTTAGAGCACAACCGCTCGCTGACCGCAACGCGAGGACTATATTAGGGCAGGCTCGAATGGAGATTTTAATCTATTCTCATGATCTCTTTTGAGACATAAGCGAACATGTAAGTACAGAAGAGACATTACTAGCACAGTTAAGTTGGAACAGGATTGAATGGCGACAGCAGTTTGAACAGCAGCGCGATGACTCGCGACATTGCGTTTGATCGAATTGCCTTTCTTTCTCTCACACATGTTCATCGTTTGTGCCTTCTGCTTTGAGTATATTTCTGTATTTCTTTTCTCTTCCTTCTTCAACACACTATTTTGAATCTTAAAATTTTATTATTATTTTACATTGGTGCATATCCTCTTTACCATTAAATTATTATCAAATTGATGAGTTTACCATCAGGTGCTTATTTTGAAACCGTACAGAGCATATGTACAAGTTTTGTTTCTCTTCATCAATTCATTGTCATTGATATGCTGTAATAAACTGAAAATACATTGTTATCTGATAGTGTTTCTCATTCAAAGAGCATGGGATTATTCACGTGAACCTCTTCATTGAGTTCTCCTATCTCTGTGAGATAGATACCGAAAGTCATCTGAATACGTATATGTATGACACCCTCATCCCTCGCTTTTAATTACCTTTTCTCTGTTTCGTATATTTCGCAATGCTATTATCAATGCCGGGTCTTTCTCACCTGTGATTTGATCAACGCAAATCATTTCACACCGGTTACATTTTCCTGTTACCTGAGAGAAAAAACCTATTTCAAGTTTGCAACTTTGAAAAGTACTTGGAATTTGGTGTTGTTAACAGTGATGAATTGTGTTTGATCCTCAATGAATGGTGGCAATCCTTTAACTACAATATTTGGTCTGAACCGAAGTATAGCCTCCTCGAGTGGCAATCCTGCAACATGAGAAAGTGATAACGCATTTTTTTTCTGTGAATTAAAGATACCGATCGCATCGGCTAGAAGTAGTACAGAAGCTTCATTTACCAATAGATAAGGCGCTTCATTGGACAGACTGCGGGACGATTCTTTGAAAAAGCATGTGTATTCGAATGAAAAGCAATCCTTTACCTTGCGATACTTTTCGTAAACGACAATCGGTCAATCCAAGAACATTGTTTAGCCAAGCTCCATTCTTTTGTCCACAATCCTCCACAACAACCCTTCAAAAGATAGTTAGAAGGATGATACATTTTTTTGCTTACGAGTCAGAACACACTATATTACTAATCGTTTGTTCAATATTTCCGTTTGTGAGTGGTAGGATAATGTCATCCTGAGTGTTCTCCGCCGAAACAATAACTGAATCATTTTCTATCTGAAATATACAAATAACCAAACGCCAAATATTGTTTATCCTCACTCTAGTCGATAGTTTACAGAGTTGAGGGTATTTCTTTTGTGATAACGTAATATCATTAGAAATGATCATGAAATGACGATCAAACTCAATTCCTGTCTTAGTGAACTTTGATCTATAATTCATTATGATTAGCTTACATTCCAACAGTTGCTTACTCTTGTATTGAAAAACCTCTACAGCTTTTGACTGGATAGCAGAACAGTCGTGAAACAACTGGACTGAAACTAGTCAACGGCAGGGGATGCTCAATCGTTGAGGGTTTCTCGGCGTTTATGAAACAGTAATCAATCATCTGTTCCAGAATCAAAACATCCTATAGTACTATATAATGTAACATTCGCTTGATTGATGCTCACATGTATTTGAGACAACCGGCCGAACGATATTCTAACAGCACCCGTTGGCTTACCATTCACCACGTCAATGCTGTCACCACACTCTTTTCCTGACTGTTAGACACATTAGAAGAACTTTTCACTTCGCAAACCTCAATCTGCGCTACCAATTCTTTATTTGTTAATTTCAAGAACTTCTGGCAAGCTCCTACATTGCAGAAGCATCCTGTTCGTAGGTCTACACCGAAAAGATCGGCCATTTTTGCTACCTGCAACGTCATTTTAAAATGAAGTAAGAGTTATGTGATTGGATATGAAATTCAACCGCTTCTCATACATGAAGTTTAAAAAATGAAATCTGACACGTCGGTTTCACGTGGGTTCGACTCGGAAACGTGGAAGCATAGGACATTAAAATGAATTATTACCTCATTAAATCCTTTGTATTCTCCTTTCTCATCTAGAACATTGAAGGAAACGATTGGTCCTTGTCTGCTCAAGTCTTTCTAAAACAAATCGGTAATGATATGTGCTTTCCTGGAAATCCTTACTTCATTCTCCAAATAAACTTCAACTGCTTCTTGTCCATTCCAGTGGAACTTGCTTTTCAATATCTTGATAGCCTCTTCTGTTATTTTGTTCACCTTCTCTTGAATCTTTCCGATACCACCTGCAGAGGATGAAGTCAATATTTTCAAAGCTGAATGAAGAACCAAATCTTTCCAGATCATCAAAGCCTTTCTGTATAGCAGCTATGCCATAGAAGTTTTGTGTTCCATCTTCGAATCTGATGTATATGCTTTACAGTAGCTCCAAACTATATCCCTACCTGTCTTCTAACTTTTTCTTCTGCTCAACAAAGAATTCTCCTGGAGTTAATGAAGCTACTGTTCCCCCCGCAAAGTGATGCTTATTCAAAACTGACTCAGCGCCTATAATACAAGGATTGAAAAGGGAAAAAAGGCTGTCGTACTTTTCTTAACAAGTAGTACTCCTAATCCTGTAGGATAACCAAACATCTTATAAAAAGAAGCAACAAGAAAATCGGGTTGAACGACATTCAGGTCTATTGAGGAAGACGATAACAATGCCGCTGCATCCAAGCATACAAACCATTCTGAAGGAAATATCTGAGGAGGGAAGAATACCGCGGTTATACTTTTATCTTTGAGAGTTTTCACAAAGTTCATGTCATATTTAAATCCTGAGAAGTTACTCATGGCTGTTAATACAAATAAAGAATTCGAGTCTGCTTCCTGGACTTCATTGGGAACATCATGTAAGCATACAATCGCATCGGTCTGAATTCCCAAATGTCCCACAAAGAAGCTCACAACAGCTTACCTTATCCTTCACAATCTCCCGCAGTCCTACTACAGAGTTATGTGAATCAAGTAAATATCCCAGACATGGGCCTATAATACAATCCAATAAGTACCCAAGAGATGAATTCACCTGCTGAAAACTCTGTTCCTATTATACAAGAGCTTGTTTTCTTATTTCCAAATCCAAAAGACTCCGCAAGTATCTTCAAACTATGGGTAGCGTTGTGTGTGAAAATAACAGAGTACTCATCGGAGTTAGTAGAGAAGTGATTTAAGACTCTGTAAAGTCCAAAGTACAAACTAGAGAAGTGATTTGTAACCTCTGACGGGCATTCTCAATTATATTTTTAGTTATTCTGCTTGTAGAATGATGTGAGTGTGGGTTAGAGAGACTAAGGGATTTGTATAGCTCCGCTATGTCAGCCAAAAGTTCTGGAGAAGGCAACGTAGATCCAGCGTGATCCAAATACGGCATGGCTTAAACAGTTTCTACTTGGTTGCAGAAATAATCCAAACACAATGGGCTATTTTTTGCTCAAGCGATGTTCTTCATGACACGAGAAGTATCTTATCAATTTTGATAATAAATGCTCAAGGGATGGCCTCATGGTTTTCGTCAATTGGTAGGGAACATATAGAAACCTCTTAATTATGCTAACGTTCCTCAAACTGTTAAATTAGATACGCAATCATGAAAAAGTTCTGTGTGGTGTTACGAATCCCTTCCATATCATATCACAATTAGCATAACGTGTAAGTGTACGAGTAATGCACGTGGAGCTTCGCGCCCTAATGACGTTTGAATTTAGCGTCTTATTACGAAAAACGAAAACGTGCACTATCCTCATTAGTCTAAGTTTTTTTGTTTTTGATATTTTTTTTATGTTCTTCAATATCTCTCAGTGATTAAGAACATTGCTGTGAAGCCATCCTCCCAATAGCTTCTTTTACAGATGAACAGAAATAGTTCCTTCAAATGTACAACATGTGGAGGATCTTCAACTCAATTATTAGATGGACAGAGGTTCTGTACGACATGTGGAACCCAAGTCACGGTATTCCTAGAACTGTTTGTTGAGCACTGATCAACCTGTACCTTACAGTCCTTTCAAGAATACGACATGGACGATTCTTCTGTGTTGAAAGGAGCACTTAGACTAAGAGCTAAAAAGCCCAAAACAACATTTGAGGAGGAATTACCTACTGTTGATGAGCTCGATTTGAAAACACCAGGAAGGGAAAGAAAGAAGGTTTTCCTTATCTGATAGGGAGATGTGACATTACCAGTTAAGGGTGATATGAAAAGGCAAGCCTTGGGAGTAGGATCATCCGGTTTAGATAGAATGAGGTACACTGAGATTGAATTTTGATTTAAAGGAGTTATAGAAATGATACTGATATGGCAAATGACAAAGTTGCTGATCATTTACTAGTTGTTGGACGAAGGCTTTTAACTTTCACAAAAATGCTGGCAAAAGTTGCGGAAACGTTAACTGTTGAGTGCAACTTCCCTTCTCACTTCCCGGTACTGTTTCAAACATATTCTAAATAAAGTTTCTCAACGTAGGAGTCTTGCTTCACTTTATGGCAGATGTATTTGAAACATTGTGAAGTAGCTTTTCATGATATGGAGTTTGAAGCTGATCTCGACAATATGTACAGAGCCATGATCGAGAAAAAGTTCACGTCAGTTTCTTCACATCTGCGAATTATATCGAGAGTTGTAGGGCGAAGGAAATTCAAAAGTCAAAGGCAGAGAATACGAAAAAGAAACAATTGGATGGTGAGTGCAGAATTTTTTGATTTTTATGATCCGCTTACAGCAACTCTCGCATTGAATAAGTCTATTAATCCTCTTGAGCTTCTTGTTAGTGAAGAAATAGACGAAGATTTGGGTTTAGTAACGACACAGGGCGATGAAAGTGCAGTTCCTACGAAAGTAACTGAAGCAGTGAAGCAACGTATCTTATTAAAATTGAAATTTTAGAGTGAAAAAGTTGAAATATGTGTGATCGATACTAATATCAACACTCGCGCTCTTCACCGTGTATGTTTCCTACATTTAGCTAGCCTCTAAGTATTATTTCAGGCTAGTTCTATGTACCTGGAACCTGATGTTCTGGTATCTATTGTTTACACCGCTGCACTTGCTACAGGATGCTATTGGGTGACCATTTCAGATATCGTGAGGTACGAGTAGAGATGATCGGAACATTCCTAAGTATTTTGGGTTCAGATGGTTCAATGAGGATAGATTCTTTCTTAGTACTTTCGAATACAATTCGATGGGTGCTGTGAAAATGAAGCGACATACTGAATCAGTGTTCACAGCATCGGTAACTTCTACCTGAAATTTCAAAACTAAATGAATATAGGGTATCCCGTTGTATGAATACAATCGCGTTTTTCTTTGGCTTTGGCAATCAATTGAGCCGCCAATTCTCAAAATAGATCTTGATATGAAAGTGGTTTGTTTCAATAATCATGTCTTTAAGCCAACCTTGTTCCTAATATTCAGGTTTTCTCTCGATACTTGTACGATCTGAACTTGCCTACAGATTTCATAGATTGCGTTCGAACATTGTACAAGATGTTTCCCATGACAACATCTATTACAAGTAAAACTGTTCGTCTTCAAGGAGATATAGTGGAAGTTAGTTTAGTCAATCCATCATAGATTGAGGTGTTCTTTCAGGGCTTTCCGATATGTAAAGCAAAAAAATATTCTGATGTCGATAAATGTTTTAGAAAAAAGCTGAGAAATTTTGCGGGTAATGAGTAAGTATTCGATAATATTTTGCTGAATGAGGTAATACATCTTCAGTGTTTTCTTCTCCAATGAAACGAAGATTATGGCTTGTATTCTGTTAGCACTGAAACTCCGCTTTGGCTTAGAAGATGATGGAGTTTGGATCAAATTTTTTTCTTTAGCGATTATGATTTTTGTAGGAAAAAGGAAGTGAAGAGTTCAATATTTCTTTATGGATATATCAATTGAAGTTACGCTTACTCCTCCTAGATGGACATTGTCCCACTGAAATCCTAAGCACAAAGTTTGCAAGACTGCCAGAGCATCTCTGTTAATAGTTTTTTTCCAGTTTGCCTTTTAACCGTCATAATTTGGAACCACCCTTTGGCTTCGGAGGAAACACCATAACTTCAATGCAAAGGTAGGTCATTCTTCAGGTAACCAGTAGTTTGCTCATATTATTAAAGGAAGAACGATAGTACGCAGTATATATTCAAAAACAAGAGCCGAGATAGAAACTTTGACAACAGCTGTCCGAGCATTAAGAGGATAGAGCAAGTATGAATGCCTTTCTAGTTATGATTTTCAAAATAACTCTTAAATTTTATAGAATAACATGCTCCCACCATACTTCCCTCCTCAGTTTTGCAGAATGTCTAATCGATCTGAAACTGGAAATAAAGTGTTATTCTGTATGTTTCTGAAATTAGCCGTACCATCTTAAATATCTTGATTACAGCCCCATTACGATTTCAAACAAATGTACTGAGAGATTTCATGAATCAAACAAGGACATTGAGCGAGAAAGAAGAGCTTAACAAAACTATTGATGAGAACTGTCTCGAACTTTTCAATGAGGATTTCGGGGTTCAAGGCCTTTAATTTTCATATGTGCTTATACTTTTTTTAGGCGTATGAACTACCGTTTGAAGGAGATAGTACTTGGGAGCGACTTTTCCCCAAATCCCATAGCTTTAAGGTATATCAGTTGCAAAATAGCTGATTTATCCTCTTTGTAGCGATTTCCAAGACCTTTATGGGCACAAGGGTGTCTTTACAATTACACGACTAAGAAAAAAAACTACTTGAAAGGAATTGATCAGGTTCGGTTCGGTTCGGTATTGTATTTTTCATCCTCTGTTCAGAAAGGCTTTTATGGTCCTTGTGCCTTGTTTGCTTCCAAGAAAGCATGCTCTGATTCATACACAGCAGCTTCACCATTCATGAGTAATAGCTTCAAAACCGTCCTGGAATGCTTTGCAAAATATATAGGTGTTGACAAATCCTTGGTATATTTATAGTTCGAACATTTAGGAGAACCCGATTCTATTCTCTATTGTTGCTATATGATGATAGAGCTACTAGTCATAGAGCAAGAACGGTTGCATTCGTGAAAACTTTTCAATGGGAATAACTTATATTATTTTAGTCACGGGAAGATTGTTAATGATTTGGTAGAGAGCTGCACTATACCTTTGGAGTACGCTCTATTCAATAGAGAAGGTGTATCAACGAAGTATACTGGTAGAATAAGCTCATACCATACTGTTGGTTTACCCAGTGATTTGAAGTGTTATAAACTTGGTTACTCCGAAAACTACGGTAACGAAGAATAATAGAGTTTTCTGATAATTTTTTCAGAAATGGATGTTAACGATGATGAAGACCAATATGATTATGCTAACTGCATGAATGTACTTGCGGATAGTTCATCTGAATCTGAAATGGATGACAAATCCCAGGATTCAGAATTAGATGTTTCTTCAAGTTGTGAAAGTGATTCCTCTAGTCAAGGACGTTGTGAGGTATGTAAACGATGATGATTTGTATGATCATTGAATAATTAAGTACAACTTGGAAAATGCACCTCGCACTGAATTTGATGAATTACTGAAAAGAAGTTCCAAGCGCATGATGTTCAGTGTATGTTCGTCTGTTGTAATAAAAATTATTGTCAGTTCTAGACACGCGTCTACGATTGGGATACAGTTTGGCATATATTGGCTACAAAATATTGGTGATGAGTCTGTCAACACTACTCATCTAAGTTCTCCACTGAAGAATTGTTTCATCATTTCTTTGGTGAAAGTTAGATGATCCCTTTTGCGCCAATATGTTCTTTTAAGGTAGGATGTTTTCACTTTGTTGTAATGTTCTGTTTTTCTTTCTTACGTAGTTGCTTCTTTGCTGTTTCATAGAAAGCTTTCCTAGTTTTTGAGGCGCCATTTTTGAAGTGTCAGTGTTTCTAACATGGAATAGAAGACTGGCACAAGTAGATGTGGAGAGGACATCGTCATTCTGTCTCCCTAAACCAGGCTGGTTTTTGTAGGGCAATCTTGGTTGATCGTCTTTTCACGCTATTGAATCGATTGACCGATTGGACTTCATAGAAGGCTATCCTTAATCTTGACCACATCATTCAAGGGATTGAATTTCTTTCGGTGTCTCTGAGTAGTTTTACTCTTTCATCATTCTATATTATCGTTTAATTTGTTATTTTGTCCTTTGCATTTTCTTCCTAATTCGCCTTCTTGCTTGACTGCCTCTTCATGATTCATATAAGAAGAGGTGTATTCTCTAAATCTTCATTTCTCGAATTTGCCACAGCTATTTCAGACTGTTTAGTTTTAAATTGCTTGTTGTTTTCACCGGAATTTCTTTGTCATAGAATGATGACAAGATTCTTTTACCTCTCGTGTTCTGTTAATTACAAGCACATCCGGTGTTCTCGGCATAGAGAAGTGTAGAGTCTAATGTCTTGTGTAGCCTTGTAAGAATGTGTTTACCTTCTGGTTCCTGTTACGCCTCTGCCTCATTTGCAAGGCTACAAAGGTGAATGTGCATTAGCTTATTTCAAGATTTTTGTCATGCCGTCTTGTTGTTGGTGTCATATAATCGTCATATACACTCGCGTAGGGCAACGCAGTTGCCGTGCGCTGTCACCTTGAGCTTTGTGCCATATCTGTCACTTAGGATTCAAGCCATTTCTTCGCTTTTCTGCGTCCAAGGCTGCTATCTGGTTTAGCTTCTTCACGGCGCTTGCCATATCCTCTCCTAGAACAGGCCATATTTTGTTTCTCTTTAAAGAAGCTTGTACCTTCTAGCCGTTGTCTTCAGCTTTTTCGTTTGCCATTTTCATGCATCCATCTATAAAATCCGCAAGTAACCCAGTTCTTGCCAAGTTCATTTACGTATCGTTTTTCACATGAAACAAGTGATCAACTTTCGGTTGCTGCAAATTCCTGATGGCTATCGTCTGAATGATCCATTAACTTACGGTACTCAACGTTTTCCTTGCTACCTCTAATCTTATTAGGTTGAACCTTTCATTCTCGTTCTATGAAAGATGTTTTAGTCACAACATGTTACTTTAGTTTTTTTGCGTGGTTTTTGTTCTCATTAAGGTTGCAATTCTGTCTTTCTGATGAAAAGAATTATCTTCCTACCATGTCATCAACATGTGTTGTACAGTGACACTAAAAGCCTAATCTTTGTTGACTTGGAACAAGAGAGTCTCGTTTGCTTCTTAATAGAGTTTCTAACTTCAAAGCTGACTCGTTTGTTCTTCGCCAAGGTGTCTGATTAGGATTACACTGAATGTGATTGAGATTTGTCATCACTGTTGTTCTTCTATTAATGTCATTGAGTGGTTTCTTCTAGGTGCTTTCCGTTACAATCAAACTGTGCCCGTCGGCCTAAAACTATTTATCATTTGTTGAATCAGAAAACTTGTTCAATATCGTATTATCTGAAAATCATAGCTTTTTGCAACTTTCACTCATTACCTAGAGCAAAATGATAAATTCTGTTATTTTTTAATTTTGTTAGGTATTACACAGTCTATTAATTACATTGCTTTACAGTTTCTCGATCAAACATCAAATCCTTGTTTTGACTCTCCTTTATAAAGGTGATTCGTTTTTGTCATTCTTTACTTTCTCTTCTTTCCGAAGTCAGTCCTGAGTTTGAGTTCTAATCTGCATTGTTGACGAACTTAGAACAAGCAAACTGTTACTTGCTGAAACTTGTTGGCAAACCAGGCCTGCTTCCTTCAGTGTAACCTTTTTTCTAATTTGTATCTAAACTTATGCTTGTCAGTTGATTTTGTTTGCCATTCATAAGACTAAAGGTGTTCGTGAAAGGGATATGAAATTGAAGATGGTTAATCCGTCCAGTTCTTTTCATACTGAACGTTTTTAGCACCATTAAGCCACCTCTTCACTATTCAGTCTTCAGCAGCAGCCTAGTCCATCAGTGTTTTAGATCATTCTTTCGAAATATGAGAATCAAAGTTTCCCTTTCTCCCCTTCGCTGCTTTTATTTTCAAAGTTTTTGATGTTCTAATCAGGGATTTGGTTGGTGGAGATATATCCTGTAACACCTTGTGTTTTTTTAAACACTAGATTTGAACTGAAGATTTAATCGTGTTTCTTCTTCTCAGAACATTTATTGCATCTTTCATTTCCTGCTCCTTTTACAAGTTTTGTTATCTATTATCATTGTTGTAAGCAATAAGCCAAACTAGTTCATTAAACGATGGCTAGGCTAAGTCTTTGTCCACGAATTCATCCCACTTAATGACATTTTGGTTTTCTCAATATTTCTTGAAGATTTTCCCTCAAAACGAATTAAACAAAAGATGAACATGTTCATTCTGTAGAAATCTCGTAAATTTCTCCCCCCCCCCCCCCCCCCCCCCCCCCCCCCGCCCTCTCTCTCTCTTCCTACTAATTTAGTC